ACTTTCAGCTCATTTTGCGTCTAATTCTCTGTCTTTGTGGTTTTTTGCATCTCACGTCATCACTGTGGCTGTTTTGCGTCACTTTCTGTTCATCTCACATCTCTTTTTATGTCTTTTATAGTTTTTTCAAACATAAAACTGATTAAAACTGTTAAAATGTGTTTAAACCGTTTGTCAGCAGGTTTTTTTTCCTCACATTTAAATCTGAGGCTGTTTGAACGACGACATCTGAGGAACTATTAAAGATGAAAACCTGAAATCTTCTCTGTTATTTCTCATCACGTCACCGATTCAGGATCTTTAATATTTAATGAATAAATCAAATCATCTCTGATCGTGGGTGAAAAAATGAAGCCGTCATGAAAAAGACTAAACACATTAAATACCTTTAATATGAAACAGTTGGTCACAGAAATGGAAAAGGAAGTTATTTTCATTTAACACCTGACTGAGCAGGAAAAACATCTGGACTTTCAAAATAATTCTCCAAATACAACTAAAAATAAAACCTAGATATTTTTAATTTGGGGATGTTTTCTGTTTTTGGACCCACTTTGAAGCACAAAGCTGTTATTTCTTATTATTTATTCTCATGATCGTTGTGGAAACTGTTTCTCTGCTGCTGGGATCAAACCTGGAACGATAAAGTTCTGTTTTCTAATTTAATTACAGGAGCTGATGACCTTCACGCATCTCCTACATCAGGACAGAAGGTGACAGTTTGATGTTTCTCCAGCCAACAAAGTGTAATTTATGTTTATTTAAATTTTCTTAATTTTAGTTGGAAAACCGCTTTTATTTCATTTATCTGGTAAAACTAAAGTTTTTCTCACATAAATACATCAGATTATCGTAAAATACGTCGAAGGCAGTAAAAGTTTTGAACAGAAGCATCCGGCAGGTTTGGTTCTGCTGCGCTGCAGTCGTCACTATGAGCTAATTCACAAAGAAACGACACAAAAGCAAAGATTATTCTGACAAACAATGCAGAAAAAAAACGGTGAAAAAGTGAAAATATGCCCATAAGCTGTACGTTTGAAGCTTCAGATGGTCTAATGTTTTACAGCTCGTCATATCTGCTCAGTCACATGAAAATAACTCATTTGTGACCAAACATTTCACAATAAAAGGTTTGTTTTTGTTTTCTTGTGACTTTCAGCTACATTTGGGTCAGAACACTTCCCTCGTTGACTCTAATGATCAGGTTCTTTTAGTTAAGATGGAATTTTCACCCGGATTCAAGACTATTTGATCTATTTGTTCGACATTACAGATTTTAAATCGATGACATGATGAGAAACAACAGAGAACATTTCAGGGTTTTATCTTTAACAGTTCCTCAGATGTTGTCGATCAAACAACCTCAAAAACAAGCTGCTTAAATGAGTCGACGGGCCAAAATTCAAACAGTTTGTCTCTGAACGTGTTCGATTTGTGGATGTAAAATGTCAATAAAATCTAAATAAAAAAAGCAAATCAGAGCTGGTGGAGCAGAAGATTGAAGGTAATCAAGACGCAGGCGGCGGCGACGAAGCGCTGAAACACTCACATGACCGTCATTGTTGGGATGGAGGGACGGATGGACGAAGGCTGGCGTTTCCAGATGTTCTGCGGCTGCTGGCGGACGCTAACGGACGCTAACGGAGCAGGTGGAGGTCTGCTCTGTCAGGAGCCGGCTCCGGTCTTTAGTAGGGGCTTCCACCGGTGAGGCCATGGCGGCGGCACAACAATGCGCAGCACAAAGCAGCAGAGTTTTCCACCACAGTCTGCTGCTTTCAGCCGGACGAACAAAGCCGCCGCACAGAATGGAAGAGCGACGGAAACGATGTGAGGAGGACGAGCAGAGAGCCGGCGGCTCGGCGGGCCGACGGTCTTTAAGGGACGGACTCAGAACATGTGAACGCGTTGGGAGCAAATAACCGTCTGTAGGCTCAGAGGAACCTCTGACCTCAGAGCAGATTCTGATTCTGAGTGTTGGGACTGAAACATGAAGTCCTGCAGCTCCACGGAAACAAAGCAGCCAAGAAGACACGTGTTCAGTCAGCAGGCCTCACAACGAGCATGTTGAACTGTTTCAGTCACTTTAGGAGATTCTCATTTTGGTTGGTTTTTGACACATGTTCAACACGGTTACGTCGTTTTTTATGTCGTGTTGATAAAAATGTTATTTAGGCCTAGTTTTGGACAGGGTTTCCATGCTTGTGTTTCAGACAAATTAGGTTCATTTTGGACAGATTTGTGTCATTTACGGTGACTTTTGGGTCATTTTGGGCCTTTTTCTTGTTATTTTGGTTGTTTTTTTTTTTCACATTTTTCACATTGTTGTCATTCTTCCGTGTCGTTTCAGACAAATTTAGTTCATTTTGGCCAAGTTTGACACATTTGTGCCATTTTGAGCAACTTTTGTGTTATTTTGGGCGATTTGAGATTCATCCTTTTAGTTTTTAGGCAGCTGGGCACATTTTTAAGAATTGTTCGTGTAATTTTATAAAGTTTTGTCATTTTGGCCCAGTTTTGAGTCACTGGTCAGGTTTTTTGTCAGTTTTTCTCAACGTTTCAGACAAATTTAGTTCATTTTGAACTGATTTGTNAAACCTCTTCAAAACGTCCTTAAAACGTATTTAAACGTCGTTAAGCGTCTTTCATCGACGTCGGCTCCGTCCGTCTGGGTCGAGCTGCACAGTTAACACATTTATTCCATAAAAAATCTCTGAATGTAATTTTTTTGTCACCTTCTGGTTGATTTAAATCTTTTTTTTTCTGCCTGTAGTTTGTTTTGCATCTCTTGTCATCAGTCGTTGCTGTTTTGCGTCACTTCCTGCTAAATATGCGTCACCTTCTGCTCGTTTGTCGTCTCTTCCTGATTATTTTCGGTCCCTTTCTGCTCAGTTTGCACCTCATTTCACTCCTCTGGGGTTTCCTGCAGCTCTCTATAGTTACTCTGAATCTTTCTGGTCATGTTGTTTTGTTCAGATTTAACTTTAATGTGCGTCCCTAAAGCCAGAGACGTTCAGTTTACCGTCCCAGAGGAGGACAGAAACCAGAGAACCTTCCCATTGAAGACGAGTCCAGCCCGTTCCATCAGTACCTCCTCAGACCGACCACCTGTGGACGGAGGAGGTTCTCACCTTTCTCCTTGGCCGTGCTGAAGTAGAGCGTCGGAGGGATGAACGGGAACAAACTGGGAACCAGCGCCGGCCGCTCTTCTCGATCGTCTTCGGCCAGCGACATCGGCTCCTCGACGCTGGAACGAAGGAGCAGAACCGGATCCGTTAATGTGATGGAGCCGGTCCAGCCTGGACACCGAGCGCTACGCGTCTCCGCTCGGCTCAATTAAACCAACAAATTGGGATCCGACAACAAGATTAAAAAGTAATGCTGCGGCTAACGGGAGCATCCGGCCGCCGCTCCAGGCTGTAACCGGAGTCGAGGCGGTAACGCGACGCTGCCGACGCCTCGGACCGGACCGGGTTCCTGCTGCAGCTCGTTCCACGGATCCACCGCCTCGGACTTACCTCAGAGTTTACACAATCAAACGTGGACGTTTAAAACGGTTTCTGTGAGATTTGACCTCGATACATCAACACTTCCTGAGGTATATATACATTTATATACATATATACATATATTGCATCAATTTTGGTTCATTTTGTGTCACGTTTTCGTAGCTTTGCATCATTTTATGGTCATTTTTCTTCACTTTCTGCTCATTTAGCGTCTAATTCTCTGAGTCTTTGTAGGTTTTTTTGAATCACATCATCAGTTGTGGCTGTTTTGTTTCACTTTCTGCTCGTTTTGTGTCCAATTTTCTGTTTCTTTGTAGTTTTTTGGGATCCTGGGTTAGTTGTGGATGTTTTGCGTTGCCTTCTGGTCATATTGCATCTAAT